TAATGGTTCCCAAGAATGTGCAAATAAGAGTTGTAAAAGAGCGAAGGTCCATAATAAGACTTAAGCATGTCTCTAGGAATACAAATCCACATTTTATGGAATGATTAAAGAGTTTGATTATTCATAAATAAAAAATATGAACTTTTTGTATATAATAAGCTAGTAGAAGCCTACTAAGTCAAGGTTATTCGATACAAAATCACACCTCAACCATAACTTCATGTTGTAAACAAGAGATTAAGGAATCTAGAAGAAAATTCCCAAAGATGACATATGAGAGAAACCTACATTCTAAGAGTATAAATCTATAGAGATAGATCACTTAAAATATGAGAAGTCTCCTAATGTAGTTACAATGACATGATATTGAAATGTTTAGTATAGAACAATAAAAAAAGTTTTTTTTTCTAATGTCATATAGCTTGATGACCAACAACAAAGGATCCTAGCACAAGCTAAGGAACCAAGGTCTCATCAATAGTCCAAGCAAGTACTACAATGTTATCACTTGTTTATAAATATAAAAGGGTCATGATAACATAAGGATAGAGAAAAAAAAACCATACTATGATAGCACTACTAACCTAGACTAAGCCTTTATCACAGCTTAAAACATCAATCTCTCACTCAATCATTGAGATTGAGGAACATGGCTAGTTGGCTCTAATGCAAGTGGGGGATTGTTAGTGTTGGTGTCCAAGATCTAACCATGTTTGGATAGGCTTATATTAATATGTTATTGCATCATTTATTTTAATAAATAATAAAGAACTCATTCTATTAATTCTTATGTTTACATATTGATAAATTCAAGTAGAATTAGATAGAAGTCCATATGATATGCATTTGCAATAATGATTGATCGAAAGATGTGAGATAAACACTAATGCACATAAATAATATCATTAAATGTCTCAAGTCATAACATCGTCAAGAATGGACATTGACAACATGTGGATAGACTTGTGAGTGCTATGCTCATGCTATATGATAGCAGTAGAAGATCTCACATCTATTGGATGGTGATGCCAAAGCAAGCACTTAGGTAATTTATGTTAGAGAACATATCACTGGATTTGATTAGTCGTGAGAACTCATTTGGTTTAATCTATGAGAATCTCATACGAGATGAGCATAAATGGTCTTTAGACTTGGATTTCTAGTGCACCCAATGAATGGTAATAATGGATTAACTAATCCTCTTCGAGAATTAGGTAGTATGATGCCTTACTAAAGGCCAATCTTGATTTATGTATTAAGAAATAGAGAAGTCTTTTATTCTTGATACATTGCCAACATATTTAGGAGCCTATTAAGTTACATGCATAAGTTCAAGTATTCATATTACAAATGAGAAGCAAAGATATTGGAAAAAGTTTCCAGTTATGAAAGTTTCTTATTTTGGAAAGAGTTTCCAAAATGGAAAGTTTCCTAAAATGAAAAATCTCCTAACATGGAAAGTTTCCTATTTTAGAAATCAGTTTTCTAATTTGGAAGTTAGTTTCAAATTTGGAAATAAAGAATTTAAAAGGAAAGGAGTTTCCTAATTTAAGTTAAAGGGTATTTTGAAAATTTATTTCCTAATGTGGACCCCGTCAAAATAATCTAAGAATATTTATCTCGATAATCAAAATAAATTAATTGGGCTAAAATAGTTTTGGCCCATTAGGTTTAATTAAAAGCCTTAAGATAATTTTATTGGGAGATAAATATCAACTTTATTGGATAAGGATGCATGTTTTAAAGATAATAATCAAGTAGTCTACGTACAAAATAACTCCTCATCCTTGGAGGATAAGGAAGCAACACCCTAGAGTCCTTTATAGACTCATGGCCACCCTTCTCCTTGTCCATAGAGGACAAGGAAACTCTCTCCCTATAAATAGAAAGAGATATGCGGCATAAATGAGGATGACCTAGAAAGAGTATTTTCAACTAAGTAAAAAATATAAGGAAAAAATTCGACCAGCCTTTAAAATAATCTAGGGCACATGCCCAAGAGAGAAAAAAAGAAAGAAAATACTTTTCTCCTAAAACCCTAGCAAGAGATACTCATACCTTCTCCTTTAAGGTTGTCACAAAGTTACTCGGGATTGATTTCTAAAGGAAATACTTAATCAAAAAAGGTGGAGCTAGCACCCCATCAATTTTGTGTGCTTCTTTATGGATATTTGAGCTACGTGAATCATTAATAGAGGTCGGGCACTTGGACGGCTAATCAAAGAAAAGGAATTTTGATCTACGCTACAAGAGGTAATCCTTTACTTTTAGCTTATTATTCATGTATATATGATTAGTAAATTCAACGGCATGATCTTGGACTCTTAGATGGAGAAAATTTTTTATTTATTTCACACCTTTATAGGATGCATGATCCTTCGGATGAATCAACATTTTATATGTTATGATAATGAAACTATTGAAAGCAGTAAAAACTATCGAACTAGTTATAGGAATGTAGAAACTAATTGCTTATAGGGTAAACTAAAAAACTTGAATAAATTTTATGTTGAAAAATTCTTGTATTTTAATCCCTAATTCCGTCAATGTCTCTTCTTTAAATAGCTCATGACTAATAACTATCTTGGATTTAAAGTTAGGCATGAAAAATTATTAGTAACTCTCCCTTCATTTCTTTTAGACATGTTGCTTTGTTAAATATAGCTGATTGTAAGACTAAACGTATCATTTCATTTACGTTTTACTATTTTGTAGAGCTTGGTTGGCTTATAAGACCAAATATACCGTTTAATTTAAATATCATTGTTTTGTCGAAACTTTATTAGTTATAAGATCAAATGCACCATTTCATTTAGTTTTTACTATTTCGTCATAAGAGGATACCATACTTGATCGATGTGTAACTTTTAAAATTTTGAGGTTCCAATAAAGTCACTTAAACTAATTGGTGAATTATGAAGGATGTTAAATAACCACATTTCTAGTAATTAAGTTGTCATCGCTTCTTTGATTGTGTATCCCATCGCATCAAGTTCTCCCTCGATCCACAAAAAGTCACGTACATCAACATTATCAGCACTATACCCATTGTAACTAGATGTATATTATTACCTATAAAACAAAAAGGAATACTCCATTTTGTGTCGAGGCTTCTATTATCCCTAGAAAATAAAGACTCGCATCTATAATGTAAATTTATGATAAAAGTACTTATACTATATATTATTCTAGATTTAAGAAAAAACACACACACACAAGCCCAAACATCCAAATTAAGGTTTTTTAGGATTCAATTGCAAATGAAAGAACTTTCAAAACACCCAAAATCTTTATTTATTTATTTATGTATTATTTTTTCCTCTCTTTTTTTCGCCTTCTATCGTTCCTTAAGTCCTATTGGTTTGATCCCGTAAATTGTAGCCCATTTTCTCATTAAGCGAAGGGTATGAAATAAATCAAATTAATTTTTCCTCCTTACCCTCCCCCAACCCACCGGTTGGCGGTCGCTCTTTCATCCCCATACCCGAGTAGTCGTCGAATGATGATGACGATCACCCACCTATACTCCCTTTATAAAACTAGGTTTTTTTTTTAGCTTTTTATTATTTTCATATAATGGAGCACATTTGTATATATTTGATTTGATTTTATATTTTTTTTATTTTATACAGGTAATATTTTGTGTTATAATTTTATTTTTAATTATTTGCTACTACAATTAAACATTAAAGCACTAATAACGAATTAAAAAAATTATATTTTCTTCTTTAGCGACGGATCAACAACCGAATAATGACGAAAAAAGGATTAAATTATATCAATTACCAATAGACAACTACAAATCCATCACTATATGACTAACCAAAGGCAACGGATTCCATTGGCAAGTCACCAACGAATAGCCAAGATTATTGTCGATATATTAGCGCATCAAACTATGGTTTAGCGATTACATTTAGCGACCAAATTCCATAAGGGATTTTTGTCTCTATATAGAGACTGAAGTAAAACAAGTTACCGATGGTATTACGACATATGTTACAATTACAAACCGACCGTTTACATTACATTAACGAGAGAAGTACTTCACTATAGAGACAACATAATCGTTGCTAATTTTATGATGGATGGTAACTTTCGTTCTTAAAATTATTAGCAACAAGCATTTCACCTATAGTCTCATTTCATCACCATTCCATCACTAAAAAAAATAATGACGAAATATATAGGTTTAGAGACAAAATTTTCCATCGATAAAAGCTTTTTTTTTTTTTTTGTAGTGTAAGAAAGATATTAAAAATATATATATATAAAACTTATTAAAGAATTTCATGGGATTTATTTATTTTTTCATTCAATTTATCGAGTAAAGACCCGTGATAAATTTAGGTGTATCAAGGCCGGAAGAAGTGTCTCTCTTTTTTTCTTTTTTTCTTTTTTTTTTTTTGGGGGGGGGATAAGAATATACTGGCAACTAAGGAACCAATGCACAAAAAATTAGTAACATATTTTAAATACATAATTGAATGATACAAATGCCAAATAAAACACGTAACAAGATAACTAGTATTTAAGGAAATGCATGGATAAGATGAAACATATGCGTTAATTTTATTGACCAATAACATCGAAAACTTTGGCGGCATAACCAAGTTTCTGACTGAACTCACGACTAAGGAACCAATGCACAAACAATTAGTAACATCTTTTAAATGCATAATTGAATAATACAAATGCCAAATAAAACACGTTACAAGATAACTAGTATTTAAGGAAATGCATGGATAGGAATGAAAAACGTGCGTCAATTTTATTGACCAATAACATCGAAAACTTTGTCGGCAAAACCAAGTTTCTGACTGTCCAATAAACTTCAAAGTTTTAATTTTTTTATCCCAAGTCATTTACTCACAGCCACATAACTCTGGACCATGACTATGTTCAAATCAATAAAATATGAGCATATATGGGCAAGCGTAATGCTATTAACCTTGAATAAGATCTTGTGAAGTGTTTGTTAGTCAGAGGAAAAGAGAACAATGAGGAATCATTCGGGGGTGATACTGTTGGCATTTGTTATTTTGGTTTTAGGTATTTGCAGGGCCTATGGTGCAATTTCAGCAGCTACAACGCAAGAGATTGAGAAAGTGAATGAGAAGGGTCCATATTTGGGAATTATAGTGCCAAATATGTTTGAGATGAACCCTCTTCTCCAATCTCCAAGTTTTGTAGCTGATCTCAAAGTTCCTTACTTGGAGTATTTCGGTAGCCATACACGTTCACCAAATATAATTAATACTGTTCAATATATATTTCAGCTAGAATCGCTGTTACTATGATCATTGTAATCATCTTTTAGTTCTTGGCAATTAATTTCTTTAGATCTCCATATTTCTTTCCGCCTTTAGATTGACATTAAGAGTTCCTTCCATTCATTTCTCCCAAAAATAAAAGGATATATCTATGTCTATGTCTTAATTTGTTGTTGATGGAAATTCTTGCAAGCTAATTCTTTTGAGATCAGACGAGATTATCAAAACCTTTTTACCTGTGATATATCTATGTCTACGTCTATGGTTTGTTATGAAAGTAAAAAAGTCAACTTTTGATACATGGCTAGCTAAAGCATGCGTTTCTTGTTGATTTGTGTTTCTTAATTATATACCGATTCACATATTTCTTTTCCTCTCTGTTTTTTGCCTCACAGGAAGAAGATTTAGGTTCGGGAAGGTGGAAAATGAGAAGGTTATAATAGTGATGACTGGATTGGGCATGGTATGTCATTTTAATGCTCATATTTTCCTATTCCATCACGTTTTCCTTCTAGATTAAGTTAAATGTGCAGAAATTATCTAATTTTCTTATTTTCACAGCTGAATTCAGGAATCACAACACAGTTGCTGCTAACTCTGTTTAAGTTGAAAGGTGTCCTACACTATGGAATTGCAGGAAATGCAGATCCTCAGCTCCAAATCGGAGATGTGACTGTCCCACAATATTGGGCACATACAGGCCTTTGGAATTGGCAGGTAGGACTATAATTTTAAACTTTTCTCCAGTCCTCTTTGTCGATCTGGTCGCTAGTTTAAAGGATGGATTTTTATTAATTAATTATTTTTTATTTTTTAAAGATTTTTGCTGCCAGTTTTTTATTTCCTGATTTTGATCTTTCTGCTACCAGTTTCTTTTCCTTCTTTTCAGATGGGAATGCGAGAACCTGAATTATATTTTCCATTTTCTGTTTTCGAACTAGTTGTCTTTCTGTTTATTTAACATTGATGCCTGCTAATCTACATAATCGAAAAGTATTACTAAAGGATTGGATTAAAAAATTGTTTAGAAAAAAAAAAATCCAAATTCCCTTTTCTCATTCAAGTTTGATGATCGATTAATCGATAGGCATATAAGTGTCTGAATATTGATGAATTTTACAATTCGGTGTCTCGTTTTTATTATTATTTTTTTCCAATTAAGTGTTTCAACTGTTTAAAGTCTACTAATCAAGTGAATTTTTCGTTTTTTGTTAACTTCCTTCTAAAAAATCTAATGAAAATTGACAGAGGAAACAAAGTCTTGTTTGACTAAGAATATTAATATCTAGGGATGTACAAAGACGAGAGAAAAAGAAGACGTAACATATATATATATAATTAAATAAATTTATTTTGATAGATATTAATGTCATTTTTTTATTTTATATTTATATATGTGTCTCTTTTTAAAATAAATTTATAGAATAAGTATAATAATTAATAAAATACACTAAAATTTCTGAAAGGGCTATGGATCTGCATAACTTGTTTGCATCTTGATTTTGCTCACCAACAACTGGAATCACAGAGGACAGTTCATGATAAATATATCTCCACGTTAATATGATCCAAACCAAGCAAAATACATAAGAGCTCAGTTGAATACGTATGTAGTGTCATAATTTAGAGTAAAGACTTCCTTTATCGTTCTCTTGTTCTGTTCATCAAACAAGCAAACTACTATATATTAACATCATAAAACTTTTCTGCAACATTTTCTCATTTTTATTTTTTTGTTTTTGTTTTTTCATTACAGCAGCATATTCTGCTTTGCTTTACTGCGTTTAAGCTTATTTAGTCTATCAAGTCAATAACTCCTTCTTTGTGATTTAAAAATGAGTAGAGATATGGAGATGGGCCTAATGATGAACTGGCTTTAGAATCTAATGGTGACTACACCAGGGAAATCGGTTACCTTAGATTTTCTAAATTCCAAAATGGTTCAGAAAACGGGAAGACAGTGGATAACTTTTTAAACAATGTTTGGTACCAACCAGAAGAGATATTTCCAGTAAATGGAGTTCCAGAAGTTAGACAGCATTCCTTCTGGGTTCCTGTCAACAAGCATTACTTTGATGTCGCAAAGAGAATTGAGGTATTACTGTCGTTGAACCTAATTCCTTTCTAATTTTATTCCATTCCTACTAAGTTGATTAACAATAACGTTAATAACTTGGTTTTGCAACATACACATATATATAGGGTATGAAGTTTCAGAGATGCGTTAATTCAACCTGTTTACCAAGATCACCAAAAGCAGTGAGAGTTAAAAGTGGGTCTAGTTCAAATACTTTTGTCGATAACAGTGCTTATCGAGAGTTCCTCAACTCCAAGTTCAACGTAACTCCAATAGACATGGAAAGTGCTGCAGTTGCCCTGGTTTGTCATCAACAACATATTCCATTCATTGCAATTAGGGCTCTGTCTGATTTAGCTGGCGGGGGTTCTGCAGTTTCCAATGAAGCAGACATCTTTGCATCCTTGGCTGCTCAAAATGCTGTAGATGCTTCACTTCGATTCATTGCCTTATTGGTTCCACAGTTGGAATTTCTGCATAAGGCCGGTTCTGATTCTTAAGATGCCATAATATGTATCAGCACTGAAAACTCTGGTCTTCCTAAAAATTTGACTGACCCAGTCATTCCAATAAGAGCATCTTTATTTATTTATTTTTCCTCTCTCTTTTCTGGTCAAATTGGCACCTACTGCAGCAACTTTCTTAATCATCTTAACATTTTCCCTGATTCATATTTCCTGTCTGTATAATTAATATGATAAATTAATGCATATATATACACACACACTTACATTGCTACCAATGAAAATCAATTGCGTGTTTTTGACTGTATCAAAAAATGAAATTTGTGTAAATATTGCTCCAGCCTGTGCATTCTAAATAAGAAAAGCTTGTATATTTGAAAATTTGGCAGATCAAATTTAAACTAAGCCAAGGCATGGGGCAACCAAGAATTCCACGTAACGTGCTTTGAATCTTCAACATTCTATGGCAGAAACATCAATGGACAAATGGAACACTAAGAAGATAGCTAGCAAACTGTGTTACTTGGATACATTGTAGAGCTAAAGCCGAATACGGTCAGGCCGGCCAGGGCGGCAAGGGGTCCTCTTTTGCTCTCCTTTTCAATCCAGTTTTCACTTTGGCGCCAAAATTCAAAGACATTATAGTACAATAGAATCCTTGTTTTCTTTTCTTGATCAAATATAAAAATCAGACAGTGAAAACTGAAAACAGAATTTTGCCTCTTCTAATTTATTCAATCACCAATCATTTTCAAGGGCCGTCCCATTTTTTTTCTTTTAAAGAAGAATGAGTTAAAATGTTTTTGAGAGGGTGAATATTTTTGGTTTCAGACAAGCTTTTGGAGACTATCTGAGAATTTGGTTTGTGCCATATCTTGGAAAATTGTAATCATTAGTTGTTTTCATGGTATGGTGATGGTTGTGTTTCCAGTGTTTTAAAAAAAAATTAATATTTACAAGAATTTTTAACATGATAACCACCACAGCTTCTCAAATCCTCCACCACGCCACTGCCTTTCTCCTCGAAACTCTCTCCCAATCTGACCACCGACACCACCTTTTCTCCACTCTCCGCCGCAGAGCCCCATCATCCAACGCCACCTTCAAACCCCTAAATTTAGCGTTTGAAACTCTTGAAAGAGCCATCTCTAACACCAATCCTTCCATTCGATCATCTTCTCTGCGTCTCACCGAAAAGGTTCTCCTCTCATGTCCGGATTCCCTTTATTCCTCTTTCCTTCTCTCCCTCATCCACACCCTCAACCACCGGCCGACCAATGCCTCCATTAGTCTCCTTAACATCTTCCATCTAGACCCTTCATTGGCTCGATCAGAGATTGCTCCTGTTATTTTTGAGGAACTGTATTTAGTCCATCTTTTGCCAGTTCTTCAATGGTTTGATGAGAAAAGATCAAGGATTTTGTCGTCTTTAACAATGAATGCGGGTTATGATAGTGATGAAAATTCAATAGGGGATGTTTCAATTGTCGCTCCTTGTACAAAGTTGTTATCAAATATAAGTGGAGATCAAGCCTTGGAGTTGAAGGAGTTAGAAAGCATATACGAGGAGGTTCTTGATGAGAATTGCAAAGTTTTTGCTAAGTATTTTAAGGACGTTTTAACTAATGGTGATGAGAATAAACTGATTACGCCACCGTCGGTGATCTTGAAAGAGTTGGGAAAAGTTGATAAATCTGATGCAAGTGAAGAAATTATCAAAATAGAGGAACTCGGACTGCAGAATGGACGGTACAATGTAATGTTACATTTTCTTTTTCTTCTTGTGTTTCCTTCATGAATTGCTTTCTTTTTTTTTTTTTTTTTTTCTTTTCTTTCCCTCTTTTCCTATGTTTTAAATTCTTACACATTACCTTTTCAAACTTTGAACAATAAACAAAGGTTTTTTTGGAAATCCGGTTCAAATTTTACAATAAACAAAGGTTTTTTTGTAAGAAAACAAATTATCGATGTTCCAAGTTCAATAACTACATGTATGAGAGGATCCAATGGATAGAGAAACCGAATGCAAGTCCTAGTATGTAATTAAGCACATTAATCTTTTTTATTTTTTGGTAGACCAACATCATTACTTATGTTAATGGTGTTGCCCTTGTGCACTGTTTGTGATGCTGCTGCTAGTTTACTACTGATACAAATTGCTATCCCAGTTATTGGGTGATTGAACTTGTAGCTTTTTTGGTTCCCGTTTGTTTGAATATTGTAAACTTTAAACTCCATTTTTGCGTTAAAGTTTTGATTTAATATGCTTTTTTGAAATCAAAAGGGTTTGTCAATGAAATACAGATCATGGTTTTGTGGAAAATTCCTTGAGCGACTCTGTTTTTTTCCCTTCTTGTTTCATCTATTAGATAAGATTCATATTTGGTGTTCAATTCAGATTAGAAGATTGTGTTTGAACATGTCGACCTTCGAGATGAAAGAAGGGAGAAAAAACAAATAAAAAATTATGGTATTCTCATAATAGAAAATTAATTGTTTGAGCTGGTCTGCCTAACTATTTTTTGGACTATTTGATTCCTGGACCACTTGTTGGATTTTTGTTCAAAAACATAATGTTTGTAACGCATAAAGCAATATCAATCTATGATCATGTGACGATGGAAGTCAATTATTTAGATTCTCACATATGTAATGCACAGTTTTAGGAAAATTCCAACTTCACACTTTTAATTATTGTCAATAGAGGCTCTAGCTTGCACAAAATGGTTCATTATTATAACCTGTTGGTTTTCCTCACCCAAAAAGTCTTCTCATTTTGTATCATTTTGCGGACATTGATAATCACTACAGAATGATTGGATAATCCAGCAGCATTTTCTTACATATTCAAACAGTAGTTTCTGTTTGACAATTCCAAGCTTAGTTTCATTTTCTGAGGTTCTTTAGTCTTTTTATTCTCTTTAATTTTTGCAGCCAATATGGACTGAAGGAGAGAGATCTGTTGAATTCCTTAGCTTGAGTGGGAGTAGCAAATACAGATCCTCATCACCGTCCTATCCTCAAAGGGTCTCTCCAGAGACCATGAAAAATAATAGCTCTATGAGGTTGATAACATTTCCCACTTCATTAAATTCTGATTCTGAGCCTGAGTTTTGTTTAGACGACAATTTGGCCTTTTCTGCTGCTTCTTCTTCTTCTTGTTCGGAATCTGAAGCCGAAATTGAGGTAATCGATACCAACAAGGAGATAGATTTTCAACTCTTGACTGACTAACCTATGCTGTTGTTCTACTTTTAAATCTTGTGCCATTATCTTTTAGGAAAACAACAGAAAAATGGCATTGTTTGAGCCTAGACAAAGCGAAACCCAAAAACAAAAGCAGCCTACTGATGCAGATTCCAGTAGGTATGAATTTTTTTTTTTTTTTAATTAAACCATTCATCATTACATTGTTCACTGCATATTTGTCACATCTGGATTCTTTCTATCGCCAGCACTTCTCCAGATCATCTAATGGCCGTCACAGATAACCCGCCTGGGGGTGGAAAACATGCCCCTCCCAAGGACTTCGTCTGTCCAATAACTAGTCATGTATTTGATGATCCAGTGACTCTTGAGACAGGACAGACTTATGAACGTAGGGCGATCCAAGAATGGCTTGAAAGAGGAAACTCAACATGCCCCATCACACGGCAGAAGTTGAATAGCACCCAACTGCCTAAAACAAACTACGTGCTCAAAAGGCTTATAGCAAGCTGGAAAGAGCAGAATCCTGCAGATTTGGTCTCCATCCAATCAGAAAATCCACTGAAGAATACAGAGGCAAGCTTCAAGTCGAAAGAAATTCCTTCGAATACTTCACCAAATAGTGTCATTATCCAGGCCTCCATTGATGGCTCAATCAGTGAGCTGAGACATGCCATTACCAATCTTTGTATGTCAGAAATATTGAATGAGTCCGAAATGGCTGTCCTTCGAATAGAGAGATTTTGGCTGGAAAGAAATATGGAATTCGAGATTCTAAGTATGCTTTCCAAACCTCCCATTATCAACGGATTTGTGGAGATGCTTCTCAATTCTGTTGATCCTCTTGTACTGAAAGCAACAGTTTTTCTTCTGTCTGAGTTGGGTTCGAGAGACAAAGGGGTAGTCTATACACTTACAAGAGTTGATTCTGATGTGGACTGTATTGTGGCTCTCTTCAAGAAGGGTTTGCTGGAGGCTGTTGTTTTGATATATCTGTTAAGGCCCTCTACCATGAGCCTCCTAGAGATGGACATGGTTGAATCCCTCTTAACAGTCATTAGGAAGAAAGAGGATGTTATGTTTAAGATGTGTCTGAAGCCAAAAACAGCATCCGTTCTTTTATTGGGACAGATCCTTGGTAACAGTGAAGAGAGTATCATTTCTTCAATTTCCAATGCCATTATTTCAACTAAAGTGATCGAAAGTATTATTGCCAGCTTGCAAGCTGAGCAGACAGAGGAGAGGATTGCAGCAGTTGGGGTATTATTGAAATGCATGCAGGAGGATGGGAAATGCAGAAACACCATCGCTGATAAAGCTGAGTTAGGTCCTGTTTTGGAGAGCTTCATGACTGCAAGTGATGGTGAGAGGTTTGAGATAGTTCACTTCCTATATGAATTAGTCAAATTAAACAGGTAATTTTGATTCAAGTTGGCCTCTGTATGTGTAATCATTTGATATCTTTCTAATGAATCTTTGAAGTATGCTGTAATGAGGAAATCTTGATCTTGATTTTCCTATAGGAGGACATTCAATGAGCAAATTCTTCACATCATTAAGGATGAAGGGGCTTTTAGTACGATGCACATCTTCCTAAATTATTTACAGGTTGCTCTCCCAGATCAATCTCCTGTAGTGGCTGGTCTCCTACTCCAACTTGATCTTCTGGTATGATACAATCATTTTTAAGTGATAAATATGCTGTCCTAGTTCCTGTGACCTAATGACAAATAAATTGGTATCTACTGTGTAGGCTGAGCCGAGAAAGATGAGTATATATCGTGAAGAGGCAATAGAGACCCTCATTTCAAGCCTCAGGAATTCTGAATTGCCTGCTGCTCAAATAGCTGCTGCAGAGACAATTGTATCATTGCAAGGAAGGTTTACTGTCTCTGGAAAGTCCCTAACCCAAGCTTTGCTTCTGAAACATGCTGGACTCGAGAAAAATTACAAAAATCTTATGCGAATGGAGCAACTTGGCAACCTTTCTGGAGAAATTGAAGAAAACTTGGTCAGTTTATATGGAACTGCTGAACAACTTTTCTTAGTTTATTTCCTTTCATCATTTCTAGGAATGTTCTTGCTTTTCCTATGCAGTTTAAGACACTGAATCTTCCATTTTTTTCACTTGGTTAAATCACTGTACTGCTTCCATTGGCATCAATAGGAAGAAGAGAGGGCAGCTGATGAATGGGAAAGAAAAATGGCCTTTGCTCTAGTAAGCCATGAGTTTGGTCTCCTCTTTGAAGCTTTAGCAGAAGGCTTGAGGAGTAGATGCACAGAGTTATGTTCAGCAAGCTTTGTGTCAGCAACATGGCTTGTACATATGCTTGGCACTCTTCCAGACACGGGGATACGAGCAGCAGCTCGAGTTTGCTTTCTCAAGCTCCTCATTGAAATATTCAAGTCATCAAAGGACATCGAAGACAAAGTCCTTGCATTGCTGGCCCTAAACAGCTTCATAAAGGATCCTGGTATGCAGCAACTTCTGGAACAATACAATTTGATTATGCAGATAGTGTTAGGGGCCCCAAATTTTATGAATTCTTCTGCATGTTTAGGACATTTTCTATCTGGTTTCAAGTCATTACAAAGACTATTCTTAATCTGTCATTATAGAAGACTAAGAAGAAATAATTTCTACAAGTATCATGGAAGAAAAATACTATAACTATCTTAAAATCGATTCAAATAGTTGGACATTAAATAAAGCACTTTCGAATTCAGATGCTATGAAAAAATATGTATATATATATTTACAATGTTTTTGTGGAATTGTATTATCTTAATCCATTGCTTTTGAATTGTACATTTTGATTACTTTTGGAACTTACAAGCTTGGAAGTGTGTATTCTAGAGGGAGTGCATGACCTTACTTCATCCATGAAGAATATTAAGAAAGATCTGAGAGAGCTTAGAAAATCCTCATCCTTAGCATTCGAAATTCTGAAAGTTCTCTCAGCAGGCCATGACTCTAGTACTGTTGTAAGTTTCTTGATCCAGAAAGTTGAAAATATCTTAACTTTAGATACTTTGCTTTCTGTTATTATTTATTTATATTCTCCTACTTCTTTGTATATATGTGTAAGGAAAAAACAAAGACTAACTATCCGTGTTTGTTGGACAATAGGAATTATGGACTCATAATGAAATAGCTCAAGCGGATTGCAGTGAGAATGGAGAAGTGCTTTCAATTACTTGCTTCAAAGACAAGATATTTTCTGGACATTCAGATGGAACTATAAAGGTAATTCATAACACCAGGTTCATTTTCTTTGGGTATAAACATGTCAGAATCTAGATCATAACATGAAGATGTTGTGCATATAAATATATCAGTATGTTGCATATGCTTAATGACTGTAGAAATATGGTCTGAAATCAGATACTTGCTTACGATTTCCACATGTTTTTATCTCATTCTATTAACTTGGAACCAGATGACATGTCAACAGTACTGATTAATAGTTCAATTTGAAGTCTAGTTCATACGGTTTGAGCTTAGTAATTTGGTCTTAGATTTTGAATAACTGTAGCGAAATAGACCACAAATTGTTGCAACTATTCATCTGTATTGTGGATAGAAGTGAAACAGCAAACTCATCCCCTTATAGTGAATCTGCCACGGTATAGATGCATTGTCTCGATGGAGAGATTGAAGGACTTGTGTCCCCCTAGTTCTTTTCTAGTACATGATTAAACTGAATAGTAATAATATTAGCTCTTGACAGAAGATTGTGATGTTTAGGTTAGTGAAATGTTAATCTAATGACATTCTATTTTCTATCTCTGAAGGTTTGGACTGGTAAAGGTAGCATTCTTCATCTCATCCAAGAAACTCGAGAACATACCAAGGGAGTCACCAGCTTGGCAGTTCTACAATCAGGAGAAAAATTATACAGTGGTTCTTTGGATAAAACTGCTAGGGTATGCTCTGTTTAACTCTCTAATTTTGGTCAATGCAATAAAATAAGTTGATGTCACTCTAGAACTGGAAGTACATCAACCCAGAGACCTCATAAAATCCTCATCCTTTAAAGAAGTTATACGAGAGAGAAAACAAAGAACAGAGTAAAAAACGTGAGCATACACAAATCCGCCATGTGGTGGTGTTTCAAGCACTTACTAGATCAATCTGCATAACAAAACTAATGGCAATATAAGCGGCTAGCTTGCCTTCCTCCTCTCGTACTTGTAACTTCCAAAAAGCTTATCCTACCGATATCCACTCCACTTCCTAGCATCCCAGAAGTCCCTTGATCATATTTAAAAGGCTCAGCTCAATAGGAGCTTGCTGTTGTACGCAGAATTTGCCGAAGTTGATTCGACTTACATGATTGAATGTTTCTTAATTCTGATGAACAGGTCTGGTCTATTGGCAACGATTCTTTGCATTGTGCACAAGTACATGATATGAAGGACCAGGTTCATAATCTAGTAGTAGCCAATAGCATTTCGTGCTTCATTCCACAAGGAGCTGGTGTCAAGGTAACATTTAAAATGCTTCCATCTCTTCTGTTGAAGCAATTATATTCAAAAAGTAGAATGGATTTCCTGACTTCTCTGTGATTTTATCCCTATTTGCATCCAAGGCAGTGGCATATATATATATATATAACTAAAAACAGGATTCTGTTTTCTCTTAGGTAAACTCATGGAATGGAGGGTCCAAACTATTGAATCCGCATAAATATGTTAAGTGCTTGTCTCTAGTACATGGAAAATTATACTGCGGATGCCAGGACAGTAGCATTCAGGTATCAGAACTTCAGCAAACTATTATCTTTCATTAATGCATCCCAAGCTATGATATCTTCCTTTTCATTAACAAATGTAAAGCTATATATTTCGGTTGTCAGGAAATTGATTTAGCTACAGGAACACTTGTTACCATTCAACATGGATCTAGAAAATTGCTAGGAAAAGCAAATCCAATCCATGCCATTCAAGTGCAAAATGGACAGATTTATTCAGCCAGCTCAGCCTTAGATGGATCAGCTGTGAAGGTATAACTTTGGAAAGATAAACTGAAATAATTATGTTTCTTAGCCTTATTCTGCTTTTCACTACTATACACGTATATCTATTTCTCGGGTTCCCTATCCTCACCGAACTTTTTTTTCCCCTAAGGTATATATAATATATACAAATTATTTTGTTTTATGATGCTAACTGTTTGTAACCTTTCCTTTTTTTTTCTTTTTTCTTTTTTTTTTCTGTTTTCTGGCAAAGATTTGGAATACATCCAATTATGATCTTGTGGGCTCAGTGCCATCTACACTTAAAGTGCGGTCCATGGCCATAAGCTCAGATCTTATATATTTGGGATGTAAAGCAGGAAATGTAGAGATTTGGAATAGAAAGAAACAAAATAGAGTTGAAATGTTACAAACAGGTATAAATGGTAAAGTTGTTTGTATGGCCCTGGATGGTAATGAAGAAGTGTTGGTGATTGGAACTTCAACTGGCCTCATTCAGGTAAAATTCAATGAATATATATACCCTTAAATCTGTTTGTTCAATAACATCACAAGAACTACAGATTCATATTGCTATTTTTTTCTTCTTCTCTCTGTTCTTTTTTTTTTTAAAAAAAAAAAATTAATTCTACATATTGTTTTGCAGGCATGGGGTCTTAGCTAGACATGGAGGATGCTGTACAATTATAAAATGACAAAATTTTGAGAAAAAAAAAAAAAAAAAAAACCAAGAGCTTACTTATTTGTACTCAAATTCCTTTTGCATATTCAAATATGCTCCTCCATTTGAAAATCATTCTTACAAATGTATATAGCTCGAACTGAATTACAGTTTTTTTTTTTTTTTTGGGCCCACTCAATGCAGCCTATGGATTAATAATTGCTCATTTGCGGTAATTTGTTTTTTCCCCTAGGAAAAATGTGGCATTGAGGGATAATATGGGAAAAAGGCAGAACCTTGTGTGTTTCTTTTCTTTGCAAATTCTAGACATTCATTCTTTATTTACCTCTCTGTCTCCGAGTTTTTTAATTATTATTTCCTTTTTTCGAGAATCATTTGAGTCTGATATGCATTTCTTCATACCTACATAACAAAAACAGGCCTATTATTTTTCCGATGTGATCAACTGGAGGAAAAAATTGATCAAAACGAGATGTGAGGTCCACGAAGGGGAAAAAAATTCAAACCAATTCAACCCTGTCATTGCAAATCCAATTCAGAGATAAAGGAAACATTGAAATCATTGTGATGAGCGCACGAATATCACAGCCATGGCAACTCATGACTACAGCTATGATTTCAAAAGCTAACAATGACTAATTAGTGCCACTACACTTTAATTCATTTCAGTATAATTAGTCCTTAATTACTTTTAATTCTGAATTTAACATCCCAAACTATATTTTGTTTCAAACCAAGTCTTTGTGTCGGTTCTTATAGAATAATTATATTACAAAACTACTAAAACAAAAAGAGAAAACTCTATTTCTTTTACTGCAGGCCCTCACTCATGGGCACTGTGGACAGCGATCGGGAACGTGCATTTGCACTATTTGGCAGAACAATTGCATTTTGGTCCCTTTTTCAAAAACTTTTTTTATCCCAAATATTATTGTTATTGCAGTTTGGCCCCTACATATTAAGAGGAGAGAGAATGGAGGGGGAGAGAGAGGACGATGAGATCTATTCTAGCGACTTTAACTATTGAAATTACCTTCAATTTGTTTGTTTTGAAAAGTGAAATTTACTTATAGTAATTACAAACCATAAAATGATTAGAAGAAATAAGTAAACATTAAAAAAAAAAAAGAATTTTTTTAATTTGATTTAGATTTTTATTAGTTATTTACCCGCACTATGTTATGGGTTCGAATAAAATTTATAAATTTTATTTTAAAAAATAATTTTAATTTGATAGTATGTGTTATATTCTTGGTTACTAAAATATATTAAATAAAAGGTAAAAATAAATTTTTTTTTAAATTATGTGTTTAACAAAATATTTGTTTTTATAAACTTTTTGCTAAAAAAAACACAATTTATTCTTTTATATCTAGATTCTTAATTGATAACTTGTAATAAAAATTTTAAAATTAATGGACTCTTAACTAAAAACTTTTCTTGTAATTTTTTTTCAAAAAAATCTAAGACAAATTATATATATATATATATATATATAACCATGCTACTATCTTTTAACAATAAAAAAATTTGTCATATAAATTATATTAATTTTTTTTTAAAGAGAAAATAACAATATTCTAAAAAATTATTAAAAAAATTAATACATAGATTTCTCTATCCTCCTTCATCTCTCTTCGTTTCTCTCTCCTATTAGCAACTAGTAATTAGATTACAATACAAATAAAGTTACAAATCGAAATAAAATTTTTTTAAAGAATAAGAAATGAAAAAAGAACATAGCAAAACTTTACGTATAGAATGTTTAAAAAAAAAAAAAAAACCTCAAAATTAGTAGTTTGGGGGGGGTAATGTGGGTGGAATAAATGCATAAAAAAAACTTAAAATAACAAAAATAATGTGAGTGTGTGAACAATCTAAGAATAATAAAAATCCCACCTCTTTCTTTTAGGGTTCTTTGTAATTTTTTTTTAGCTAAAATATATCAAGAACTCCTAAGCTTGAAAAAATTAATTACACCATAGAAATTAAGGATTATTTTCTTTTACTTATCTACTAAAGATATCAAAGAAAATAATCCTTAATTTTGTTTGGTGTAATTAATTTTTCTTTTCAAATTTTAGAACCAAAAAGTAAAAAATTTTAAAATTCTAGGGGTCATGTCCCTCGTCCTCTCGCTAATCTGGTAGGCACTAGATATAATATTGCCAATATGTAAAAGAGAGCACTTGAAGGGAATTAGAGAGAACATTTATTAGTCTTTCTATATATATTAACAACTTTTTAGGCATTGCAATATGATAAAGAATTCCTTGTGTCCATCTGGATATTTTTATTTATTTATTTATTATTTTCTTTCTATAAGAGACCTAAAGGTCTAATAATTCTAAAACCTAAGAGCCTTAGATGAATGCAACACAATATATACTCAATGAGCAATCTGGATATCAACTATCAAGCAATAGTAGTAGCTTGTGTCTCGTTGATTTTTTAATTCTTAATGTTACCGATTTGATATATTAGATTCTACAATATAATAAAGACACACGAGATAATGTAATGTTTAAATGTTATAAATTAATTTTTCATGAAAAAATCAACGGTGATTTGAGCATAAAGATGCATTTATAAGTCACCCGACGTCGGATGGGACTCCTAAAAAAAATAAATTTTAGCATCGTATTTATCAATTATTTTCGGAATGCGAGTTACTATTGAGTTTAGAGTCGTCACCTAGTATTAAAGGAACTATAACCTTAAAATAAGCATTAGTGCAAAGATTCTTGGACAAGGAGTTGGTTATACTTTGGGAAAATATTGATCACCTAAAAATGTCATTTTCTAAAAAAGGTATCACATCTAATTTAATCTTAAATGCATATACTAAAGCCTTTTATTTTGTGCCAAGTTATTTCCAAATTGAACTCTAATTTCCAAGTTAAATTAATTTTTTTTAATTTATGACGTGGTATTGAATTGAAACGATCATCGCTCCTTTTCGTCAAGCAATATGTCAATTCAAACATCGGATCCACTTTAAGCCTTGACATAACCAAGTGTCTCGGAGAACATCCCGATTGTTTGAGTGTTGATGAGATATTGTTATTAAACTAACAACGATTCCTCGTCAAATAGGATAATTTGTTAAGAATTTTTTTTTTTTTTGTATTCTTATTTTTTGTTAACGATAATCCTTATCAAATAAGAGAATTTATTGAAAATTTTACTCTTTTTTTTATCGATGGAGAATCATCCTCAATTCCTAAAAATTAGGAACCTTAACAATTCATCCACCATTTGGTTATCTAAAATAATTATGGAAACAAAATCCTAAGATTAAAATTAATTCATATCCCTTTTTTTAGTTTATTATTTTTATCTTTTTGTTGTTGTTTTTTTTTTTTTAATCAATGGAGAATCATCATCCGTCTCCGAAAAAATAAGAGACTTGACAATTATCCACTTATTAATTACTTAATCTAATTATTAAAAAAATAAAAATCCATAATTACATTAATTAAATAACATAAACATTGAAATAGCAATTAAACATAAAACAAAAACAAAGAAAATAATTCAAGATTAAATGAAATAAAACTAAAGATTTTTTTTTTCAAGTCGGATCGAAGCCAATCCAGCCCAATTTTCTTTTCTTTCCTTTTTTTTTTTTAATATTGGACTAAACTTCGATCCAACCAAGCGTAACTTTCTTTCTCTTTTTCTTTTTTGAGCTAGACTAAAATCCAACTCTTTTCTTCCCCTTTTTTCTCTTTCTTTTTCTTTTTTCTTTTTTAAATCAAATTCATTCCTTTTTCTTTTTTTTTCTCTCTCTCTCTCTCTTCCTTCTTCTTCCTCCTCTCTCTATACCTTCCATGGAAGAACCAATAATAGTTCATCCCACTTTCTCTTCCTCTCCTCTTTTTTTTTTTTTTTTTTAGCCTTTCCTTTTTTTATTCCTCTCTTGGCCTTATCTCTTTCTTTTTCTCTTCTTTTGCCCGATCCATGGAAGAAACGAATCAAAGATTTCTAGTGCGTTCTCTCCTTCTTTCTCCTTTTTCCAATTAGATCAAAATCCCATATTGAAAATTTTTCTTGATTTAGTCGAACCCTAAGTTTTTTATTTTTTTAATTTTTCCTTCCAAATTGCCTTAATTGGCTTGGTTTCTCTTGATATCAAGCCAATTCAAACCTAAATGAGTCATTATTTTAAAAAATCCCTAATTTTTATTACTCGTTGAAGATCTAATAAATCCTAGGATTCAATCTAGTCTAATTTGAGTTCAATTTAAGATTTAAATCTTGAATTGAAACTCTAATTAAGTTCGTTTAGCCTTCATTTCTATTATTTAACCTCAATTTCAATCCACAATAAAAATCTTCAAATTCCAAAATTCTAACCGTAAGAATCTTAAATTCCTAAAAATTCCAACTTAATTTCCAAATTCAAACCCTCTATTTAGTTATAAAAATACAAATGTATATGTGTGTGAGTTTGGAGAGGAAAATTTGGGTTGAGGATGATGATGGAGAGGCACTCGCTACTTTAATAATTATGTAAAAATTCCTCTCTCTTCCGTCGCTTTTTTTACTTTGATTTTAATTTTCAAAGCTAATTCCCTCCTTTTTTGTTTCCTACTACCTTTTTTTTTATGAACTTAATTGATTTAGACTAATCCTCTTTCCTTGTGTTTCCTGTTGCTACCTCTTATTTGTGATTGTGTTCGTACCTCACCGTTTAATGGTGTGGTATTTTATTATAGGATATGGAGTAGATGGTTTTGATTAATAGGCTAGTGATTTTTAAAAACAAAATAGCAAAAAGAAAAAGCAATGACAGTTGGAGAAGAAGAGAAGATAAGAAGAGAAGGTTAAGGAGGTATAAAAAGAGTAAAAGTAGCAATGGTAACACCGTAATTAAAAAAGTAGAGGAGGGGTGCAAAATTAAAGAAACATTATTGGATGAATAGTATTATCCATAGTGTTTTATGTGAGGGTGAACAGTCTCACTTTCATATCTTTTA